ATGTTTAATAATAATAGGCATAATAATAGGCAGGACCTTTGCCCAGAATATTTTTAGAGTATTTTATATGAAAAGGAAGCGTGAAAATGACTTTCTTTTTTCTTTTCCTCATCCACGACAGCAGAGATATCAGCATTTTTCTGCTCCTCTTAGAGTCAGGATTGGAGCCACTGGCCACTCCCTTTGCCCATTTATAACACATGGGCATGCAGATTTCTGGCTCTATTGCTCGCCCCTAAGTACTTCTTATCAATCATAACACGAAGTTGATACATAGATCATGTAGTTTAAGAAATGTTTGCTAAAGGTTACTAAAAGTATGGAGACTGTGATTCTAAATTTTTTTTTACTGATATTTTTGGCAAGATGCTCCTATCTTTTGAATGAGTAAATTGCATGACAACATTAACTCACCCCTCTTGCCCACATTAACCTTCAAACAAAAGCATATTCTAAATGCATGAATTTTCCAGAACATGCAATTACAGACATTCTGTAGGAGCAGCAGAGCACTCTTTCCTAGCAGAACTTTCTGCAACACCTGGCACACACAGCTGGCTGTTAACAGCAGACCGTGCTGGCTCAGGGTTTTGTCTGCCTATTATCCTGTCTCATCTTCCGTCTTCTTGTTCTCATGGAGAGTCCTATTTTCTTCCTTGTGGTCCTGCGGGGTTGTCATCATGACGCCTCATCTGCACCACAGACAGGAATGAGCCCCTGACCCCAATGGCTGGTTTAAGTGCGCCATCCCCTAGAACCAGTGCTGAGTTTAGAGACAGGCGCATGGCTCAAAGCGCTGGTGTCGATGGTCAGAGAATCTGTCTGAGGAAGGAAGCCAAGGAGGACATGCTGATGACATCCTTGAAACCACTGTATCTAGCTGTGCTTGAGGTCCACAACAGGACTTCCCATGAAGTCAAACAACCTGGTGTCTTTGTGATTAGGCAAGTTTGAGTTGGATTTCTGTAAGTTGCAACCAAAGGAGTCCCCATGAATATAGAATTTCATTTAAATAGTTAAAATAATCATATTAGTCTGTCTTGAACCCAATCCTTTTCTTAAATTTAGGGTTGTAATCTACATTTATTTAAATGCTTACAACTTAAATGACATATCTGAGTACAAGACACACTTAGCCTAGAAGCTCATGTCAAACAATTCTTTATTTTTTATGGTACAAATTAAAAGTGACAAATCTGAAGCTGTTAAGAAATACACAAAGTGCAGCTTTACTGACCATACAGATATTGCTCTAGATTAAGTACAGTTTTTAAATTTTTTTATTTTTATTTTTTAATTTTTACATTAAGCAACCTGTGCAGATAAATCAGCTTTGGTTTCAATGTCAGAGCAGGTAAGGAGCTTTTAAATATCCAGTTTGGCTTCTTGGTCACAAGTCTATCACGTCAACTTCTCGTCATGATGATTTTCCCAAAACAACCCAGTCTGTTTTCCTGCCCTGCCTCCTGCTGCCTGTTCCAGGCATGGGGAAGCAGATCTCGTAGCGGAACCTCATAAGTGACCCTGGTGACCAGTCTAGATCACAGCACATAGGACAAAAAAAAAAAAATCACATTCTTAACAACAACAAATAAATGAATGTGCCTCACATAATTTCAAGTTGAAGACAAGCAAATCACATGACAAAAAGCTCATTACAAAATGTTACTCAAACAGATCTTACAGTCAAACATTAACATGAAAATCAATTTCCTTTCTCTCCATTTTTCTAAGCTTGGTCATTAACTGGGTACAAGTAGAGTGCTGAGGTAAAACATTGATGAACAGTTTGTATTTTTTTTTTCTTAAAATAGGAACAGTTTAGTATTGCGAGATTGTCAGCAACAGTTAGCCATATCTACACAATGTGCATATACCTACAAATATTGAGCTTTGGTCCAGCGTAGAGAAGACAAGCAAAGGCATTTTACGATTTCTTTTTGGTTATAGCTTGAGTTCTTTGATACGCCTCTACTTGCTTTTTCTGTTTTTTTTTTCCTAGCTCTTTTTGCTTTTTTGTTCTCTCTTTTGTGTTGCGTTGTGTGTGTGTTCGTGTATGCATGTGTATCTGTGATTACGACAGAAAGAAAGCAAAACCTTGCAAATGCAATTAAAACTTTCAACTGTTCAAAATATTTTTGTGGTTGAAAATGAAAAAAACCCACAAACAAATATACAATGTAACATCCATTGTCATTTTTCCATCAAATAATGAAATGAAGATGACAATAATTTAAAAATATGTGAGAAAAATATTGAAGCTTGAAATACAATCAAAGTGGCTTGTATTTTTTGTTGGTGGCAACCTTAACCTTCAGTTCATGGAAACATAAAAGACACTTAAATGCTACTGGCATATGAAGTTGTTTACAAGTGGAAATAAGAAATATCATAATAAAATTAAGCAAGAGGTGTGGTCCCAAAGACGTATGAGTCACACAGTATAATTTATATTCCTAAGAATCTGTTCAGGCACCTGTTTATGCCTTGTAGCAAAAAATTTATCTGTAAAAAATTAATATAAGAAGCATTACAACACCTTATAAATAATTTATAAAACAATACAAAATTATAAAACTATAAAAAAAATCAGTGCACATGAATGGTTTCATGACTGTGGGATGAATATATTTCTTTTTTGTTCCACTCTGGAAGATTACTTTTATTTCATATTTTCACTGTCCTAGTTATACCCTCCCAATTATAGATCTCAGAACTGAGCAGGCCTATGTAACTGCTGCCGGCATATATTTAAACATTTAGCATCCGTCATGTGTTATCTTGTTAACTTCTCTTCTCGGGGAGCTTTTCTTGATGGAATTTGGAGCAGGCCCTAGGAGAATACAAAATCTGTTTTAATCAGTAAAGTTTCGGGTTTTTCAGTGCTTGGTATTGGTGCAGTTTTGGAGCTGGCGAAATGGGTGCCATGATGCTGGCCTCGAAGATCAGGTTAGCTGTGCTCCAGTTGGCAGCCGACTGGCAAAAGGAAGCACCTTCACAAGCCACTGGCTCTGCCTCCAGGATTTCTTCTCATCTGCTTGCTGGTTGTCTCCTAATTGCTGCATGAATCATCTGAGGGGACAATTACACTGTAGCATTTACACAACCAGCAAAGGAGCCAACAGAAGAAAACCCTCAACCCCTAGGGGGGCGGGCATGCATTAGGGGCAGGAGAAGGCATTTCTAACAGGTTGGGCAACTTGAGGTCTGGTTCCTCTTCCTCCTCTCACAATTTACTTCTAGACAGGACATGAGCACAATTATTAATTAACTCTTCGTAAATATTTCCATTTTGATAGCCAGCACATCCATGGTTCTCTTCTGCCTGCTTCTCACACAGAGCACCTCCTGCCTCCAGGTGGGCGAAAACACCGGGCACGGGCTCCCAGCGCCCACCTGCGCAGTGGCCACCGGCCCAGCAAGCCCTTCTGGCTTCTCAGGCTATTGTGGCCCACAGGTCTTTTGAGTAAGTTATTTTTAAAAGTGAAAAGATCCTCTAGTTCTAATAGCAAAGGTTATTCTGATTTGTTAGATAAGCCATTCTGTATTTTTTCTTTTAGTGAAGACTTCACTGTTAAAACTTCCTTTCCCCTCGAGAACCCAGCCCCCAATTCCAACAGATTTCATTCGCCTGCCACCTTTCTGCTCCATTATCTATCCCAAGAACAATCTCTGCCCCCTGAAAAAGTCTGCCGTGGCCATGGGAATGAAAGAAGTAGCAGAAAAGATGGGACCAGCAGGGTGCATGACGGCCTTTCACAATCCAGTCGCTGTCACCTTCCTTTTGGCCTGTTTCTTTGTGTGCATGGATATGGTGTGTGCATGCCATGTGTGTATTTTGACTGAAATCTTGAGACATTTCTTTGGCTATCAGACTTCTGAGAGAAATTGCTTTGCACAGAAGCATAGCATAGATGTAAGTATTGAACCAAATGTGCAGCTTATGTTTATATTTACAAAATTAGTTTTGGTCAGCTCTCCATGTATGCGGCCAACAGACTGAGAAAAATCCCCAGCTCTGGTGTGGACAGTGGGCACAATTACAGCTTACGCCAGTGTTGACAGTTCATTGAGCAAAGCCCTATTTTGGAGTCTCTCCTGCATTTCACTAGGGTCTGAGTGGAAAAGACACTGTTCTTCCACTTCCGTGGCCTTCCAGCCCCGGAGGCCATGCGCAAGGGAGTCGGAGAATGGGACGGAAAAAACCCCCACAAGTCATGGTGAGAAAGAAAGCGACAGATGCTTTGCTGAGTGGAAAAGACACTGTTCTTCCACTTCCGTGGCCTTCCAGCAGACCCCGGAGGCCATGCGCAAGGGATTTGGAGAATGGGACGGAAAAAACCCCCACAAGTCATGGTGAGAAAGAAAGCGACAGATGCTTTGGCACACGATCCAGGATGCCCCCTCTCAAAGAAAAAGAAAAAGAAAAAAACACCCTCCTTCCCACCCCCTAAGAAAACCCAGTAGTGAGCCTCACGGAATGGCTTCGGCAGTGGCACCCACCCCACAGGTGGAGACGAGAGATGGGAGGATGGGAGCAACCAGGCTTCCTACGTTTCCGCTCGTACAAATGCAGAAACTGGTAACACAACGTGACACGCAGGGGAGGACTGACCGCGTTGCAGCGCCGGGTTTCTGCCTTTGGTTAACAGGTTCCATAGTGGATCAGCACCTGCGGCCTGGGAGGTCGCAGTCCCTCCTCCAGGGGGCAGGCTTGCATTCGCTGTGAACAGGTCAAGTCTTTGTTGGTTATTTTTGGTTTAGTTTTGTTTTTCTTTTTCCTCAGAATGTGTTCACATTTTCACAATATACAGAAAAAAAGGATGTGGTTATTTGGTTTGCTTTCAGTCCATTAAAAAACTGGCTTTGGGGAGACAGGTGGCGGGGGGACTCTTCTGCCACACACACCATCCGTGTGCTGTGGTCCTCGTTTAAAAATTTTCAAAAAATTTGTTTTCTTTTTGGAAAACCAATGGACGTGTATAAACCATTCTGTCCACTTGGTCGTTTTCTTAGTCTTTTACTTACAAGGGTGACAATGATGGGAGCTGTGTTTTCATTGAATTGAAATTACTACGATTAGTTTTTGGTGCAGTCCCAGGGAGGAGTCCAGTCCTGTGGATGTGGCTTCTGGTCCTGGGTGGGCATCTCTTTAGGAGTTTTCTTCCAGAGAGTCCGTGAGGGGCTCCAGGGGGCCTGCCGTGGCCGGCTCGTGCTGTTTTAAGCGTTTAATTGTGTTCTTCAGGGCTTGCCTCTTATTGCAGAACCAAACTCTAACTACCTCCCGGTCATAGTTCAGCTTCTCAGCAATTTCGGTCATTTCCTGCCCAGAAGGGTGGGTGTTCTTCTCAAAGTGGGCATTGAGGACCTCGAGGGCCTGGGGCGTGAAGGAGGTGCGCCGCTTGCGCTTTTTGGATGGTTCACTCCCGATAAACTCGGTCAGGTTCTGCATACCTGCTCGATGGCGGGCCTCAGCCTCAGCCATCCACCGCTCAAGCACCGGCTTGATCTTCTGGGCACTTTTAGGGGTGATGTCCAGCTTTTCAAACCTGGCAGGATACAAAAGGCCAGGGTTCAGTTTGGCTGTCAGACTGCTAGCTATAGTGTTCTCTTGGGCTTCCTGTGGTAGGAAAAAGTGGCTTCTCAGGATGGTGTGTCTGGGGGGAAAATTGAGAAAGAACAGTCTTACACTGAGTCCTCTGCCAGGGTGGGCCTCCTGCCTGCCTGCCTGACTGCCTGGCAGGGCAGATTCACTCCAGATTAGCAGCCAGCTGCAAGGTAGCCAGCCCCACCCCAGCCAGCGCCCACCCGCCAGCGTGCTCCATGCCAGTGCATGCAAACCACACGCGCGCACACAGCACACACGAGCCAGCACGGCGGCACACGGCAAGTGCAGGTCTTCCCCTGTAAGTGCTGAGACCCAAGCTCTGGTTCTCACCGTACCAACTCTATCTCCCCAATCCTCAGAGTCTTTATGGCAAAATTAACACTAAGAAGCGACATCAAAGACAACAGTAATCATGTTTGTTCGTTTAAAATGATTCTTCACCTGTTCCACATTTGACTGTCTTTTCATTCTCCCCATTGATTTGGGGACGTGTTTGTTCATTTAAAATGATTCTTCACCTGTTCCACATTTGACTGTCTTTTCATTCTCCCCATTGATTTGGTTATGAAAATGAAAATTATGAAAATTGTCATAGTCAGCCACGGCCACTGGGACAAGAGTCTTTGATGGTTCTCTTTTTCTCTCTCTTTTGTAACTCATTTTAACTTCTCTCTCTCCCTCTCTGGTAACAAACAATTTTCACCATATGTAAGTTAACAACATGCCCCTTTTCCAGTAAAACATAGGCCATTGCTACTTTACTGTTCTGGCTGGAACAGCTGGACACATTGTAATTACCATGGAACAGCCCACCCCTGCATGTGCTAAGGCCACTTCATGCTTCCCAAACACTGTCCGGCGTAATGGTGTACTTTTGCACCAAGGCCTCAAGCTGTGTTTAATGTGTGATATCTGCAAACTGTACTTGAACGATATCATTTTCTGTAAATGAGGTCTTCTATGTATCAATTGCCATCAGCAATCCTTTGCTACATTGACTTTTAAAAATATGAAGAATCTTGGACAAAACTATATAGAGTGTTTTAAGAGGTCATCCCGGTACCAAATTCACACTCACTCTCAATGAAATATAAAAAAGTACCAATTCCTTTTATTTGTTTGTTTATTCTGAATCCAAATTCACAACCATCGAGTGTGTTTACTTTGGATATGAAGAATTCCCTTTCTTTTAAAGCGTTCCACGCTGTTGAAAACCAACCATTGGAATGTAGCGTACTCTTGGTACGATGGTCTGTTCTCATAGAGCTAAAGTCAACCTGCATTAGTCGGTCAGAATGTATATCCTTTTATAAGGATGCTGGCAAAAGGGCAGAAAAGGATAGGCGTTCTATATGTGCCCTAATCTTATTTTGGCAGCATATTTTAGATCTCTTACGTTGTGATTAGCAGCACAAATAGTACCAAATTTTAATGCATTTCCATAGCCTTCCCTTCCACATAGAATTCAAGGAGTTATTTGTTTATTTTTGAAAAACCCAACTTCCAGTACTGGTCAAGGAGGGAAGAAGCGTATTTGCTTTCGGTACGAAGTGAACTAATCATTGAATGTCATGTGATGAGCTTGTCACTGTGGCAAGCTCCCCCAAATGTCTCATTGTCATGCTGATTTCCCACACACCACACTTTGCTGGGTTCACCATAAAAGCCCCAAAGCTTAAACTCTTGACAGCATGACAATAGGAATTACAGTGCCATGGCATCAGGGACAGAGATGGTGGTGGGGCATCCAGTGTACTGGTGGCATCTCTTTCCCTGCCTCTGATAAGGAGGGACTTACTCACTCTCAATGAAATATAAAAAAGTACCAATTCCTTTTATTTGTTTGTTTATTCTGAATCCAAATTCACAACCATCGAGTGTGTTTACTTTGGATATGAAGAATTCCCTTTCTTTTAAAGCGTTCCACGCTGTTGAAAACCAACCATCAGAATGTAGCGTACTCTTGGTACAATGGTCTGTTCTCATAGAGCTAAAGCCAACCTGCATTAGTCGGTCAGAATGTATATCCTTTTATAAGGATGCTGGCAAAAGGACAGAAAAGGATAGGCGTTCTATATGTGCCCTAATCTTATTTTGGCAGCATATTTTAGATCTCTTACGTTGTGATTAGCAGCACAAATAGTACCAAATTTTAATGCATTTCCATAGCCTTCCCTTCCACGTAGAATTCAAGGAGTTATTTGTTTATTTTTGAAAAACCCAACTTCCAGTACTGGTCAAGGAGGGAAGAAGCGTATTTGCTTTCGGTACGAAGTGAACTAATCATTGAATGTCATGTGATGAGCTTGTCACTGTGGCAAGCTCCCCCAAATGTCTCATTGTCATGCTGATTTCCCACACACCACATTTTGCTGCGTTCACCATAAAAGCCCCAAAGCTTAAACTCTTGACAGCATGACAATAGGAATTACAGTGCCATGGCATCAGGGACAGAGATGGTGGTGGGGCATCCAGTGTACTGGTGGCATCTCTTTGCCTGCCTCTGATAAGGAGGGACTCCAAGCAGTGCCTCGGAGTCACTGCAGCTCATAAGGGAGAAGAGAGGCCTGAGCTGAGCATGCACCTCCCTGCAGACCCTTTTCCATCCTTGAATTCCCTTAGATGGTTCCAGTGTAAGACCCTGGTCTCTTTCAAGACTTTCATTTTTTTTTCCTTGGTAGACAGCTCCTAAAATGACCTCATGAAACATTGGAAGCTAGAGAAAGGCCCCAAAGTCAAGGCATCTGACATGTTCTGTTCTGCTAGGAATTCCCAAGGTCTCTTTGCATTTCAGTCACAGTTTTGTTGGCTTCCCCTGGGGAAGACTTTAGAAATGAACATATTTGATGGGGAATGCCCAAGAAATGCTAGGTGTATGAGTTAAAACACTACATAGCACTTAAGTCAATAAAAGGAAATCACATTTTAGGACTAAAAATAAGCCAAAGAGGAATTTAGCAACAATAGCAAATTGGCAACAACTTAAAAACCTGTGGCTGCCTTTATCACAAGGTTGTCAAGATGAAACAAAATTAATGTTTCCCGACAGGGAGCAACACTATTCATATCACTGATGCTGCTTGTTAGTGTTGATGCTGCCTTACATGTTGTTTGGAATAACATATACAAGCCTTGAAACAAATTTCCCAGCAGTAGTATCCTTGTATACACTGAATAAAGGTTATTTTCTACAGGGAGGTATCTTATAAGAAAAAACAGTAGGGGAGGCCATAGAAGTGAGAGGATCCTATGGTGCTTTTTGTATTTAACAACAATCAATGGGTTTTATGGAAAATCATTGAGCAAAATGTGAGCTGCAAGCTACTACCCCATACTGATGTTATTTATAACCTTAGTCTTAAACTGCAGGAAAAGTACACTTCCGTCCTTTGGGGAGTACATTAAAAGTATAAAGAGCAGATAAAAAGACAGCATTTCATGGATCACCAAGAACAAATCCACTTAAATGAGTTTAGAGTTGGTTTCTTGGCTTTTCCTGATGGAGGAAGACTCATAAGACATTGCCCAAGAGGAAAAAGCTCTTACCGAAGTGCCTGTTACCTCATGCATAAACATGGGATTAGTGCAACACACACATGCATGCACGGGGGCTGCTTCTGACGACTTAACCCAGATCAACTTGAACACAACCAAGGCTGGATTCTGTCATTTACTTATTTAATTGTGTGTGTGTGTGTGGGGGGGGGGACGGGCAAAGTTAGGCCAGATTCTCACTATCCATGGTGCATAGACAGAACAGATGTGCAGAATACCTGTGCCATTAAAATTTCGTGGGGAAAGGAGGGTAATTAGGATAAAAAAATAAAAGGCTTTTTGCAGGGAAAATGGGGCGACAATAAAATAATAGTCGAGAAACCCTGGTTTAGAGCGGAGAGGGACGCTCCTAACAGAGTGGTGCAGTGAGCGAGGGAAGAGGGATGAGCAGCCTTGCAAGGGTGGGCAGTGGGGGTTCAAAACTGAAGAAACGGAAGCCAAGACTTTCCTTGTAACAACATGACTTTTAAGACCGTGGTGTCCTTGATTCAGCAGGTGTGAGAGTCACCTGGTGGGGCCCAGGGATGTGCCTTCTTAACGAGTACCATGGGAGATTCCACGCAGGGGATCCCTGACCCCACTTACAGAAATCTTCCTCCGAGGCTCTGTCCTGACCAGGTGCAGCTGTGGTGTCCTCTGCATGCCGCTCTTGTTCTTGACCCTTCACCATTGCTATTCGGTGTGCTGGACTGCACAGAAGAGCTGCTGTCTCACCTGTGTGGGACTGATGGGCTCCTGAGCACGCAGCCACCCTGTCCTTCCTCCCCACCTGACC